TTTCAATCAATCGTTTGATTTCGTTAAACTGGTAATATTACACTTTATTTTTTTCTGAAATTTAAGTTGTTTTACCTCAGCACATTATTGCTGAGAGTTTTGTTTGATAAAGAAAAAAACACCATGGAAAGAATGTGATTAAATATAACCGTGTTGTTTGTGCAAAATAACTTAACTCGCAATTTCATGGATTAATTTTTGAAAAATTTGTTTATTTTTAAGGGTACTAATAAATAAATAAAACGTGTGCTTGCAATGCAATACAAATTTGGATATGGTTTTAAATTTTTCTGATTAACATATGCCTAGTAATAAGTTCCTAAGCCATGCTAAAGTTTCAATTTACTTCAGTACATTATTTTAAATTAACCCTCTGTTAGTCAACGATGTTCTATAGACTATTTAATGCAACAAGAAATCAATTTAGAGTACATGAGTACATATCTTCTTCAAAGTTATCAGAGCGGACATTAGTTGTTGTTATATCTCCCATAAACTCTGATTGTTGTACTTACTCTACATGTGTTTTTATACCCTCAGCCTTTAGGCTAATGATAAGGTGAAAATGTGCCTCATCGAAATATTGGTTTTATACGTCATGTTTCGTTGGACCAAATCCGTTTCAAAAAATTTGGAGTCGATTTAGCCATGTCCGTCCGTCTGGCTGGCTGGATTGTGCGCACGATAACTCTCGAAGGCAGCAACCGATTTCATTCAAACTTTGCACATCTTAAGTTCGAAAATGGGGAATATCGATCCACTCCTTCTGGTACCTCCCACACAAAATGGTCAAAATTATGTTAAAAATTAATTTTATAATAACATGCAAACGGACTATCCGATTTTAACGAAACTTTGTACAGCCTATTATCTTTACCAATCATAGATAAAGTTTGAAGATGGGACCCATTGGTCCACTCTTCCCAGTAACTCTCCCACAAAATGATCAAATTGTGCTAAATATTACTTTTATAAAAATATGCAAACGGACTATTCGATAGAAACTTTGTAAAACCTATTATCTCTACCAAGCCTAGATTAAGTAGGAAGATGGGACCCATTGGTCAACTCCTTCTAGTACCTCCCCCACAAATGGTCAAAATTTTCAATATTTGTAAATCCAATATCAGGCGAATGGAAGGTCCGATGTGAACCAAACTTTGCACAAACCATTATCCTTACGAAGTCTAGATTAAGTCCGAAGATGGGACCCATTGGTCCACTCCTTCTGTACCTCCCCACAAATGGTCAACATTTTCAATATTACTAAATCCAACATCAGCCGAATGGAATGTCCGATTTGAACCAAACCTTGGTATTATCTTTACCAACCCTAGATCAAGTTTCAATATTTGTAAATCTAATATCAATATCCGATATGAACCAAACTTTGCACAACCCATTATCTTTACTAAGTCTAGATTAAGTCCCAAGATGGGACCCAGTAGTCCACGGCTTACGGTACCTCCTTCACAAATGGTCAATATTTTATAAAATTTTATCAACATTAAATCCAAAACCTCTTTGATAAAAAAATATTTCTTATATAAAGCTAATAATAAAATCTGTGTCTAATTCCGAAGACTTCCGCAAACCATAGGCTGGGGGCATAGGCTTTTTTACTTGTTATAGTAACATATTTACTACCTAGAAAGTGCAGATTCTTAGTTTATTACTTCTGGCCAAACGAACAACAAACTTATGGACATCAAAAGATTAGCCAGTTTGATATTCAGTAATAAAAAGTTGTTGGGGGAAACAAATATGCTGTATATAAGACACGAATCGGTCGGAAAAATATTCGCTTACGACTAGACTAGGCAAAGGGATCTCAGAAATGTTGCAATACCAAACGTACTAGGAATAGTAGGAAAGGAAATTTCGATCGCTTTAATTCAAGGCCAATGGCTAACTTGGTGAATAGACCAAAATCTAGTGAAATAAAAAATAGGTATTGGCAAGGCCAAAAAATCGCGATTCCACATTTAAAATCGCCAATTATTTGTTGCAAAATACATATTGTATTTTTGTTCTATGTAAATTTTGTGATACATACAAATGACTTTAGTTTTTTAACTTTGAAGATAATTTGGTCTGATCAAAATAAACACATACCAGTCAGACCTCAGGTGGAAAAGTTTGGTATTGGGCCAAACCATCCAACCAACAAACCCACATCATGTTACTCAAACCATAAACATGGAAGATGTTCTCTTATGGTTTGGGTCTGTATAACTCCGGATGGTGTAGGCACTCTTTTACAGGAGAATTTGCCCATAGCCCTTGGCCAGATAGGCCTTAAAATGTCATCTTCCAGCATGACAATGACCCCAAATATTCTGTGAAAATAGTAAGGGATTGGCTTAATTCTCAGGAGTTTTGGTTAATGGAGTGGTCCCACAAAGGCCTGGAAAAAATCCAGTATATTATATATATATATAAATGCCAAAGAGTAATTTACATTGTGTTCAAAAAACCTTGGTGCATAAATGTGCCAATGACTTGATTATGAAAGTATTTACGGTTTTTGATACTTAAGCAATGAATGAAAGATTTTGTATATGTTTGTTTAGTTGTTAGGTATAGATTTTTTTTATTTATGGAAAACGATTTAAGTTTGTGTAATAAACACCATAAGAAAAACACATAACGTGTTAGGGGCAGCACTCGACCCCGTCTTACATTGATCGGTTTCTAACTGAATTCACTTTTTAAATTTGAAAATCATTGCCAACAAAATAAACTACATTTAATATGTGGTTGTTTTTATTAATATTTCAATTAATTGATATTATTGACAAATTCAAAATTCATCTTTCTTATTCTTATTATTCAACATTTCATATCAACTTGTCAAAGGTGCAGTGTATTATTTATTCGTAAATTGCTGCTGTCGATAAAGATGAGGCAATAATCCATAAAATATGATCTGATGCTGTTATTGAACTCAGTGATAAGCGGCAATATCATTCTACGTTTTTTTTTTATTTTTTTATTTTACAGCGAGAAAGTGAGCCTCCATGAATGTCATTGATAATGTGAAATCCACATAATCGTGATAGTGTCTTGAAAATCGCAGAAACATTTAAATTGCTAGGCTTTCTTAAACACGCGATTCAAATAAAATAAAACATAAAGTGACAAATTGGAGTTCAAGGCCTTCGAATGGAAAATTATTTGGTTGATGAATGGCATTGATAATTATAACAATAATTGAGAGATTAGTACCGGCCAATTTAAATGAGAAATAAACTATGTTTGTTGAATATTATCAACAAAGTAATGTTTAAGAAACTATCTTCCAAATAATAATTTTGTTCTCTTGTCATCGATCCTAGGCCCAATATTTCAATCAAACTTGATACTCACTTGTTCGTACACATAAATAAATGCAATCGAACGATTTTTTTGTTTCTTGTAATTGATTCACTCACTCAGTCACTCATTGTTTGCGTTGCATGTAAAGTGGCAATTGATACATTTATTCTAGCTGTTGTTTTTGTTATAGTTCGTTCGGCGCATCGTCGTATGGTATTGACTTCTACACTTGTTTTAATTAAAGAACTACACTAAGATGGACTTTGTTCGATTCGGGTATGTTTTCTTATTCCCTTTTATATTGGACTTTGTATTTGTTCGGGAATTCACTTTGGAACAAATTTAACGTTTTTTTTTAATTAATGTCCAATGTAAGAGGTACAACCTGAACCTGTTGTAGTGTTTTTTTCTGTTTTCTTATTTAATTAATGTAATATAATCTAACATTACATTAATTAAGTAATAAAATGTCAATGGATTTGAATTGATATTATTGTCCATGGTCAATAGTAGTGTTAGAGTAGGTAAATGTTAAGATAGGTCATGAATTAAAAGAAAATTATAAATTATTGCTAGATTATATTTATTTTTGCAATTCATCATTTATTATTTACAATAGAACGGTTTTCAAAGTAAGAAACAGGACAGATTTACAAAATAGTTGCGAAAGCAATAATTAAAGTTCATCGGAAAGCCCTTCAAATAAAATGTAAAAATTTTTAATAAAAGATTGCAGAATTTCAATGAGGAGAATTTGTTGGCATTGAACCCTTATGATGGCAATAATCATCATTTTGAATCGTGCAATTTAAAAATCGCATAAAGCGCATTGGTCCCCAGAGTTGCAGCCGCCACAGAATTCGACGCTGCTATCGCAAACATTTTGCGAGGTTATTGGGATTTGTCCATCAGCAGTTGCATTGTCAAAATCGTTGTTCTGGATTTTGGCAGTAAAAAAACTGATGGATTCATTACCTTCCGTTCCAATGGTAGATGGTACCAAGAATCTCTCATCAGTTTTGGAAGCAAATCGATCTTCAGCAAATATTTGTATCTGATAAATTGCCGTTAGCATTCAGCTTTGCTCCCCGTAGGCGGATAAATGTATACTTAATAGGTTCGCATAATAGGACACATGTCCAATCCCAATGATAAAAACATGACACTAAGCCCATACTAAATTAATTATTTGGAGGTGATATAGGCTGTACGTACTTACAAATACCAATTATTTTATAAAAGTATAAATTAATTGTAGCACTATATATAAAACTATCTGGCAAACCAACTAATTGTTGCTTTGTTTTAAATTGCAGATATACATATAATAACCATGTTATGTTATAAAACGGGTTTATTGCAGGGCCTCTTATAAAGATTACGGCATATAGAGATTAATTTTTTTATCAGTTCAAATTCGTAAATGTTGCCTTCGCAACAAATCACAAGAACCACAATCAAACTCCTCTAAGGCGTATTTTTCATGTACCACGTTGTTGAGAATTTCCTCGTTTTGTAGGAAAGCACTTATAAAGAAGTTGGACTGTATATTCATAACTGGGACATAAGATCCAAATAGCATACATTTTGAATAAATAATTCAAATTCTAAGTATTTTTCTTTCTTTTTGTACAATATCATTAAAACTTATATATCTAACATTTTTCAATTTTTTTATTTCAGATGAAGGACTTTCAAGAATATGGTCAGTTCCATTTCCATTGGGCCGATTATGTTGTATTCGTGCTGATGATTGTTTTATCTACCGGAACTGGTGTTTACTATGGCTACTTCAGGTTGGTCTCTGTTTGACATTTATTAATTGTAAATCTTCATAAAATCAATTAAAAAATGTTATCCTTTACAGAAGAGAGAAAGCTGGCAAAAAGATACCACACGCTGATGTGGAAGCAACCAAAGCAAAGAGAACAACAGATTTTGGTTCCTCAAAAATGAATGAATACCTTCTGGGATCACGAAAATTAAAAATATTTCCGGTAGCCATGAGTTTGGTCGGTAGGTGAGTTAAGAACTGTGATTCCATTCAATCTAACGCTAATTTAATTTTGTTTTCTTCTCTGATTTTGAATCATTTAGTTATGTCTCAGGTGTTACCATACTCGGCACCGTATCGGAAATCTATAATTTTGGTACCCAGTATTGGCTAATCATTGTATCAATTGTATTTATGGCCATTGCTGTGTCTAAAGTGTATTTGCCGGTATTTGCTGCCCTTCGTGTTGGGTCCTCCTATGAGGTATGTTTGATTTGTGTTGGTCGTATTGTTTTTGTTTAATATCTTATCTTAGTAAATCGTTATGCCAAAATATTTTTATTGATATTTGAATTTTTTAACAATACCAAATTGTATGACAATGCATATTGTAGTGGCGTTCAAATACAAAATAATTGCTAATTATTTATTTAGTATAGATTTTGGGATTAGAATTCAATTTTTTTTTGAAGTTAGGCTAGCCATTTATTTAAAAAAAAAAATAAAAAAACCAGTAAGGAAAGCAGTAAAGTCGGACGGGGCCGACTATATGACACCCTTCACCACTTTGGATATATTCAACAGATGAATCCCAACAGACGTTGAAGGACCATTAACATATATATATATATATATTTATGTATATATTTATATATATTGACATGTTTATAGTTTTCATTCAAAACAGTTTTTTTGCTTCTCCTACACAATTATGCTTTTGTTAGTAACGCCTTTTTGCATTTTAGCTAACGATTAACTACAGTTCATTGTACAAAATAGCGTGGCAATCGGACAAACTTTGGGTCTTCAGTGCACAATTTATATAAAATCGGAAGAACATATATATAGAAGCTATATCTAAATCTTAACCGATTTTAACGAAACTTAACACACATCATTCTAGACCTAATTTATTACGCTATGCCGAGCAAATCGAAATATATATATTGACTTTGTTGCACCATTTTCATAAAATCGGACGAAAATATATATGGGAGCGATTTTCAGGAAACTTGACACACATCAGTCTAGACCTAATTCAGTATCCTATGCCAAATTTCGTGCAAATTGAAACATATATAGGGACTTTGGTACACCATTTTCATTAAATCGGACAAATATATATATATATATATATGTGAGCTATATCTAAATCTAAACCGATTTTCAGGAAACCTAACACACATCATTCTAGACCTAATTCAGTAGTCTATGCCAAATTTCGTGCAAATCGAATTATATATAGGGACTTTGGTGCGCCATTTACCTTAAATCGGACGAAACTATATATGGGAGCTATATCTAAATCAGAACTGATTTTCTCGAAACTTGGCACACATCCCTCTGGACCTAATTCCGTACTCTGTGCCAAATTTCGTGCAAATTGAATGATATACAGAGACTTTGGTGCGCCATTTACCTTAAATCGGACGAAACTATATATGGGAGCTATATCTAAATCTGAACCGATTTTTCTCAATTTCAATAGGGTTCGTCCTTGGGGCAAATAAGTGACCTATGCCAAATTTCATCCAATTCGGATTATAAATGCGACCTGTACTTTGTTTACAATTTAACATGGACAGACGGACGGACATGCGTAAATCGACTCAGAAAGTGATTCTATGCATATTCTCAAAACATATGCACAAAGACATAATATCCCGTACCACAGTGTGGTGAAGGGTATAAAAACCATGTCTGATTGATTCTACTGCTCTGTCTGAATAATCCACTCTACTATGGAAAGATTTTTCTCAGCACCAAAGGCATTTCCAATAAACAATCGCAATCGATTGTCGATGACACAAAGCTAAATGCAGATTTGTTAATATTAACTGAAAACACTCAATAAAACTCATTTATTATATATGTATATTTAAGACACACCTAAAAACCCTCAAATGTTATATCCATCCTTATATTTGTGTTAATCTCTAAAACAAATTAAACGTGTTTGTGAAAGTTTGAAGTTTGACCCCCCTGAATGAATTCATCAAATACATTAAATTTGCCAACAATGAGTGGTTATAGAGATATTGGTGTTTAACACATAAACAATCTAGAAATGGACTTTGTTCCATGAAATTCACGATACCCTATCTAGACATTTTATTTATTTTTTTTCTAACCACTTGAGGCAGTATGCGCGTTTAGAATAATTGTTTCTCTATTTTTTGCATAAATTTGTTTATAAACATTAAATTGTTGACACAATTAATTTACATTCAAGCGTTTTGCAGACTTGTTGTTTTTATCATTCTTTTAGTTTAGAGAAAACTTATCAATTGAAAAAATATGTGAATTCATTGAATTTTGACACTAATTAATCATTTTGTTGTTTTCTGATAAAATTTCTTCATTTCAACAACAATAACAAAAACGAGGGAAACAAAAAACGTGCACAAATAATTAAATATTATATAGTTTAGAAAAAAGAAAGTCAATGGTGTTAATAGATAACAAAAGTATATTTTTTATAATTAAAACTGTTATTACCCCTCATGATAAAAAATACAAAATTTTATTAAATATTATTTGTTGGAGTTGTAAAATAATATGGCTGGTTAGGGCGAACTAATATAACCATACATTGCTATACAACGTCTCTATTTTACTGCAAAAAATTGTTGTCATAGACAAACTAATAGACATGTGAGATTTAGTACTATGATCCGCAGCTGATAATATCACTTGTTATCAAAAATCAAAATCAGCTGTGTATCATGAAATAATATCTTATCGTCGTATTACAACAAACTGAATAAAAATACGACTCCCACTTATCACACTGTAGTATAATTAAGTTTTGCATGAATTTGTTTGTTCGATATGACCAAACAATGTCGTAAACATTATAATTAATCAATCAATCAAATTTAATGATGGATATACGTTGGAAATATAAAAAAACACATTTTTTTATCAGGTATACTGCGAATTGCAAATTTTATTATGGAAATAATTTAATTAGTTGAGATATACGGTCGGGAAATCACATTTTATTTGTTCATTATGTTATAAATTCAGATATAGTCAGACGGAGTTGACATTATACATACGTCCATGTGTTTTATATTCCAGATGTCATTTGAAATTGTCGAGTAGATTCGGAACTTTTTGTTTAGAGCTCTATATCTCAGTAATTAGGCCAAAGATATAAACATTTTATGCCTGATTATTTTCCTATGATACTTAATTACAACAACTAGTACCAAAATAAAAAATAGTATTAGTTTAATATTTTTACATTTTTGTCTTCACCGAAAGTGCTCTATCCGGAATAGCTTCGGCATTTGATGGGGCACATTCGGCACCCATAGACATAGCCTGGTAATTACACGGCGAAGCGCTTGCTTGAGGTGATCGACACTTTGGTATTTTTTTAGTGCCAACCTTGCTTTCCAAAATACTGCAGACACAATAGTCCAACGGATAAGTATCCGGAGATTTTGGTGGCCATTTTGCGCTGGAAATGAAGCGAGCAACCTCATTTTGTAACCATTCATGGGTGGCACGTTCTGAGTGCGATGGTGCTGAGTCCTGTTGGAATGTCCAAGGTCTGCGGCCAAAATGTTTGCGTGTCCAAGGCTTTAATTCACCCTGCAGAATATGTTCGCGATAATATTCGGTTTTTATTCTGATGCCACGGACGATTAATACGAGCGGAGAGCGACCATCGGCTGTTACGGCGGTCCCCACCATCACACAGTGGAAAAAATACCGATCTAGCGCGCACAAAATAAAAAATGAACTTGAAGGAAACTTTAAAACATTAATGCAGTTTTAAAGCAAAGTGTTGAGTGTGCTTAATCCGTATTAATAAGTTAGAACGGAATAACGGTACATTTAAAATAGATATTTTTTCCAAAGTTAAAAATGGTATTTTTAGCTATAAATTTGCGATGGTCGTGTGCATTCTGTGAATATATTAATATAGAATTATGTCCTTTTTTGATATATAGTATTGGTATTTAATTAAATGGAATAGTTATATAACCCATAAGTTATTTTAATTTAGGTGTTTCGGGCTTAATATATGTCAGGTCCGTTTTTTAAATTCCTTCAATTAAACTAGGGGTTTCGTATGGAGTGCAGACGAGTTCAGCGTCGATTTTTGTTTTATTTTTTTCGTGTGTCTGTCTAGAACATCATACTAAATTTGTACATGCGACTTCCTGCGACTCTCGGATTTATGGCAATTTTTTGAAAAAAATGCCAATTTGGTGTAGGAAGCTTTTTTAAGGTTTTGTTCAAATTAAATTAAAAATTTTTGAATTTTGTTGATATAATTGATCAAATATGACTCGGAATAGATGACAGCATAGCATATAAGAAAAAACAACAAGTTCAAAATGTCCGTCCTAAGGTTCCAGAGAAATGAGTGTGAGTATGAAAATGAGGGTATGTAAGTAAGCTGCTCCAAACAGTGATTTTAAACTCATGCAAACTCCAAATGTCCTTCTAAATAAAAAATTGAAATTACAACGAAATCGATTGTAAGAGTTATCTCAAATGCCGCAGGTAGGGGGTTTACTTTATGAACCCTGAAAAAATATCATTTTTTTTCGCTATAAGCAAACGGAAATTTTGTGCGTGGAGGTGGAATTTGCGGTGCAACACCAAAAGTAATGAATAATTACAACAAAATTTCGTCATTAACACCAAACATCAACTTATACGAATACGGCCTGTGTACCTTACATGCAAGGATTCGATGTTTAGAATGTATATTGCACATTTCATACCGACTGGTTTAGGCTACTTTTCGAAGAAAGGAAGGCACGTATCATCATTAATGATTTGAAGGAAGAAATGCACATTATTGTTGACACACCTAAATCCGTATCCGGAACAACAAACGATGGCAATACTGCTAGGCATTTTTTTAGCCTGGCTTGTAAACATTTTAGTATCATCCTTTCAACCATGGCCTGTGGATATGCTATTAACGCAGGGTCATTTAAAGAACTTACTGAGGAAACATTTATTCTTTTCGTGGAATTATATCCTTGGTTCTATATGCCTTCAAGCATACACAAAATATTAGTGCATGGAGCTGATATAATTAAATGTGCAGCTGTGGCCATAGGAACGTTGTCTGAAGAAGCCATGGAATTAAGAAATAATGACTTTCGGAACTACAGGGAACTGTATACCAGAAAAATGAGGGATCTTTTCAATAGTTTGCTATTTTCTTCTGATTCAAAAATCAAACTTGTCTCGTAGTACATCTAAAGAAGTCCCACTATCTAAAGATGTTCTTAAACTACTGGAGGATCCAATGCTACCAACTAATTCAGATCAAAACTCGGATTTTGAATGTGATTAGTATTTAATAAGTAATGCCTAAATTTTATAAAATATATATAGTGTAATGATTTAGATATATAATATTAACAATAATAAAGATACATATAATAACAATATAACCCACTGTTTACCCCACAGATGTTTCGGAATTTTTAAAAGAAGCTCACATTTTAGGAGTACTATTAGTTATAACGAAAAATGTTGCTTAATAAAAAATGTTTAAAAAGCTTCAAAATAGTAATTTTCGCCTAAAAATGTAAGTTTGGAGCTTGAGTTCTGGTGTCCAACCGAAGGAGCACATATTCAGCTGACCTCTTTGCCAAGTAAACGATAATTTTGTTTCTTTACAAACTGCTGGACAACGAATGTTTTTTCATCGGAGAAAACCAAATTCGGCAGTTCAGCACTTTCGGCCAAGCGAAACAATTTTTTAGCTCTTTTGAGTCTACTTTCTTTCTGTTGCGGTGGAAGTTTCTGTGATTTCAGTGGCTTTGCCCTGAGCTCATTTTTCAATATTTGCCGAATAGAATATTGCGATATGTTCAGCTCACGAGCAATTTTTCGGCCACTGCGACGCGGGTTTCGATCAAATCGTTTCTTTAAAATTATATTTTTTATTATTTTTATAAAGATATAGATTGTAGTTAACGACTTTTTTATAATACTGCCTTAAAATTTGAAAAGTTTTATACACGAAATACTTACAAATATTACAAAAACACCTGTAAAAATACAAAAAAACGGCATTTAAATAAGCTTGTTTATTTTTATATTTGATTCCTATGGATCAAAGCTAGTGATGTACAATGAGAGCTTCATATCGAAAACGCCATTGCCGAAAATGCCTCAGATTTCAAATTTAACAAAATTAAGTGGCATATAATAGCAAAATTCCAAATTTTGGGTACTTTAGGACATCCTTTCGATATTCGCTAGTTGCTCATACAGAGTAGTATTAGTCGATATTAGACGACAGTTATTTCCGATTCTAAGATTATACATATAAATTACGTCTGAAAATTTTAATTCCCTAAAAAATAAGTTATTTATTAAATTAAGTCCTTAGTATAATAGTTTTTTATTTAGCATATTCGTTATAATAATTGAAATTTTTCTCTTTGCAGTATTTAGAAATGCGTTTCAATTCAACTATTCGGAGTATTGCTTCCATAATGTTTGTAATGGATGAAGTAAGTAATTAGCCATTCAGTTGAATAATTTAATAATATACATATCAATAAATAACACTACTATCTTACATTTCAGATTTTCTTTTTGCCAATTATTTTGTATGTACCCGCAATAGCATTTGGCCAAGGTAAATATTTTTAAAACCATACCTTTTATACAATAACAAAATGAATTTTATTGATTTAAAAAGTTACTGCATTTGCATGACATTTATTAACCATTCATTTTGTTTTTCCTTTACAGTGACTGGCATAAATATCCACATTGTTAGCGGTGTTATTTGTGTCATTTGCGTTTTCTATACCCTAATTGTGAGTTTTTAATATGGTTAACAATTCAAAGATTATTATATTAACATATACTATTGTATTATAAATTCTAGGGTGGTATCAAGGCAGTTGTACACACAGATGCCTGGCAAATTATTGTAATGTTTCTATCAGTGGTTGTTGTTGTGATATTGGGAACAATTTATGCCGATGGTTTTACAGATATTTTCAAAACTGCTGCCGATGGTGGCCGTATTATATTTGCAAAGTAAGTTAATACCAATTCTAATTCAGTGTGAATGATATGTTTCATTTTTTGAAGTTTGTTTGTGCATTAACAGCATTAACCCGTCCCCATATGAACGTCAATCTTTGTGGGCTGTTTTAATTGGTGGATTTTTCTATTGGACTTCATTTAATTCCGTAAATCAAACAATGGTACAACGTTATATGTCACTGCCGACACTGAAGAAAGCTCAATGGTCTGTTGCCATATTTACAATTGGTATTATACTGTTTATATCTATTTGCTGCTTTGCTGGATTGTTGGTGTATAATTTCTATAGAAATTGTGATCCATTGACTGCTGGTTTAATTGCGGTATGTATAGTGATATATAACGTGATTGAACTATAATGTATAATAGTGTGTGATATAATTGAGAGACAGCTGGAATTGTCTTAAAACGAAATGAAATATATTAAATACAAAACTGGATACAGGCATTAACTTTGGTATAAACTAAAATCTTATAGTCCAAGTAGTTCTGGCGAACCCTATAAATATCTATAAACCTAAACCAATATTCCGAGATGGTCTTTTATTTTATGATTTAAGGACTTATTCAAATCAAAATTCGCTGCAATGAATTTTGTGGATTTTACACTGTTTAAAATATATTATTAATTTCAATGAGTTACACAGAATGAAATGATTGATATATTCTTAATATAAAAACTTAAAAATGAAGTATTCGGGCATGTTCTGGCATTCACTTCAACGGTAGAAGTGTATCGAACACACGTTGAGCTTTACACCTTTTTGAAGTGAATTCTTTGCACTACATTTTCATAGTGAGAGTCGGGTGTATTTATGTTTTTTCTATATAAAAGAATATTATTTTTGAAATAAAAAATGCACATGATGATAGATTGTGTATAATTTGTTTAAAATCACAAAATTAAGATGAAAAGCCATTAAAAACCAATTTTAAATAGATACTAAAAGATACATATAACATGTAATCATGATTAAAGGCTGAATTAGGGTTTATTTTCTTAATCAGGCTGAATTTACCACGATTTATCATACAAATGTAAATAATCGTGCGGCAGGGTTTCTTTTAAATCATGATCGAAATCATGGTACAAAAAATACTACTCTCTCACAATGTACCAAAATTTGCAACTGTTTGCAATAATATCACCTGATCGGCATTTAGATCATGATTAAAGGTATGTGAAAACGATTAGGTTGTATTTTTGAATTTCATTAATTTAAATCATATATGTGAATATACTTGAAGGTTTGTGTTGCTTTTTTTCGCATGAATCTCTCGTTTGACACAAACTGCAGATTTGAAATAAGATCGTACAAGATAGTATTACCAAATGTTCTTATTAAATCAATCAACAAATTAATGATATTACAGAGACTTTCATACATATAATATATTTTGGGCATTTATAAATGCAAATGAATGCAATTATCGTTAGAATTAACGATATCACTAAAAATGGCAGAAACAATGTTAAAGAAGAATACAATTTATATTGTATTTTGAATTTATTTCGGAGCAGAACTGGAGGTAACTTTTGAGGGGAAGTGTATGTGTGAAGTGAAAAACCCGATTGATTTTAAACATTCCCGGTATTAGTAGTATTAAGACTAGACTATCAATAACAGAATTTATCTATTAAAATTAATTTTGAATTTATTTCTGAGTCGGTTTAATATGTCGATCGACTCCATTTTTTAAATGTTTTGTAACTCGTCCGAATAATGCATAGTCTAGCATAACACACTGCAATCAATACAAGGATGCGAATGGACCTAAGACGGTTGGAAAGCCAATACAAAACATTAACGCTTATTCAACAGAGAATTCATCATAACCTTGTTCTTAAATTGTATTATTCGCTTTTATATAGTTTATAGTTTTATTTTATATCTTTTCATGTTATCCTTCATAATTAAACGTTTCTTTTTTCTTAGAATGACGATCAACTATTGCCGGTTTATGTAATGCAAACAGTTGGTAACTTACCTGGCATTCCTGGTCTATTCATTGCTGGTGTCTTCGGTGCTGCTCTAAGTTCCTTGTCTGTTGTCTTAAATTCAACAGCTTTAGTTGTTTTAGAGGACATTGTCAAAGGCTGTTTCCGTTTTAAGCTATCGGAAAAATCATCTGCCGTAGTTGTGAAAACATGCATTGTGATCTTGGGTCTCATAGCCGTCTCATTGGTATTTGTGTTGGAAAAGTTAAGCGGCATTTTAAGTGTAGCCACATCGGTAACTGCTATTGCGGCAGGCACAACATGCGGTCTCTTCACCTTGGGTATGCTGGTACCTTGGAGTAATCATAAAGGAGCTTTGGCTGGAGCTATTGCCGGTGCCATTATGTCTGGTTGGATATCGTTCGGTTCACAAATATCGTTTGCCAAAGGTGATTTAGTATCGCAAAAACTTCCAATATCCGTAACGGATTGTCCGGCTAATATGACTCTACCCGATGATACATATATTGATGAATCGGATGTATTTCCATTGTATAGATTATCATTCCATTGGATAAATCCAATTGGTATAGCATCAACGGTTCTTGTTGGTACTATAGTGTCATTTTTAACAGGACCGACAGTGGTGAAAAAGTTGGATGCTGATGTTTTATCGCCTGTTATTCACAAGTAAGTATTTGTTTGGAATTTAATTGAGTTTCGTAACCAAACATCATGGCAAATGAATGAATCTCATAATGCGTCGCATTTTCTGCTACTAAATTTGTTTGGATGTATCATCTAATGTGTTTCTCTTATTTTTATAGATTCTTGCCAAAAGAATGTTTCCCACCCATGGATTCAGATAGCGATTTAACCAGGGAGAACACCGCCCAAACATTAACTCACCTTTTAGGTAATTCCACAGCTAGTACAAATGTGGGACATGAAATGGAGCCTGGTGAAGATAATACAGAGCGTAATGCAAAATATTAAATGAACTTATCAATATAAATATATATGGATATATAAGACAATCAATAACTTGCCAAAATTAGTGAATACGTAATATAAAATAATGCATATATAACATTGACAATTTTTGTAGAAGTTTTATTAAATCTCGCTGGAAGAGTCATCTGAGAATTTGTAACCACGAGTTAATTGTGCCCCTAAGGAATAACTTAAAAAAAACATAAGTAGATATCGATGTATAAGTATGGCATATGGTTCCAAATAAAACACAAAATATATATTTTGTGTATTAAATTAGTTAAGTTAGTTTTGTAATTATGTATAGCTTTAATTGTATTAGTAGTATTTATATTATTGCAATATTTTATAAGTGCAATTATTTTTTAAATTTTAATAGTCTACTGTATAGAGCAATTATTCAAATTCCCTTTGTTAACTAGTTTTATATACATTTTAGAATTTTCCTATTTAAATGTAATTGTTGTAAAACATGCAAAATTATTTCAAAAAAAAAAAAAAAAACTTTATTATGAAACAATTAAATTTTCGATCATTTTTGCATTTCAAACAACTAATCTTTAATTATGAACTATATAAATATATATTATTTCTTATCCCCAAAAAGGCCATAAAATATTATTTTTTTTAATTCAGAATAAATTTCGTTCTAAGGTCAATTTGACCTTTCTTTCGGATATTTCAGCAACTTTTTACATGCACTTATTTAAATTTATTTACTTAAATATTATCTATGGAAATCACTACTTATTCATCAGGCATCAGACTTAATCTAATTAATTATAAATATTTAAATATAGTTATACAAATATACATGTCATATAAAATAATATTATATCAATTTTCGCAATGTAAATATGTATAATTAAAAAATAATAACGCAGAAGACAAATTTTTATTCACGAAAAAATGTCTGTGATAAAATTACTGGTATTTTTATGTTTATATAAAGAAAATGAACATAACATATAGATTTAAATATATATGTACAAGAAAAACTAATGCAGCATTCATTTTAAAATATGAAATAAAGAATACGATTTTTAAAAGTTCTCTATTATTTTGTATCATCAAAAATAACATTTATTTTGACTATATCCACAAATTTGTAGGTCGTATGCCGATTTATTGATACGGAGAGATGGTGTATTACAGATCATGTGTGCAGAATTTCTCCCATTGATTCCCAGTTTTCATGAAGGTCATTAGCGAGAATCACTTGATAGCAAACACTCAAATGAGAATAGGGAGTTACATCTTTGACAGATCAAATCCATCGGTGTATTAGAAGTCTCGCACCAGAGAGAGAGAGAGGGTAGAGTGACATGAATAACAACAGTGTTACTCATTTTGATAAAATCGTCTTATCAACAACCACCCCTCAACCATAGGAAAACCAATTGACCAAAAATCAAAGATATCATCAATTACTGCTTTAGGAAACTGCCAAACATTTGTAATGATCGGCCAGAAGAAAATTTAGGGAATTCATTATTGCCTCAGCTGATAATTTCACAGCATTTGCAGCCATACCATTTTATGAACCACCCAGCTGCCCTGAGATCCAGGATTAATGGAGTGACTTAAAACGGTTTTGATTTCTAAACAACAGATAGGGCTGTGGTAAGCTACGCCGTGTGTATATGTCCATAAAATATTCAGAAATATTACAATAACGCTTTGAGAATTCTTTACATGTGGGTCTGTGACAATATAAATTTGTTGCAGTTTCTGTTTTGATGCCACCGAGATAGTTATTCCAATCATAATATCGTGGATTCGCAAACTGGACGCGTCCACAATTTTCGAACAGCTACAGTTGTTATTAAATTACAATTTTGTTAATTAAGTCTTTTAAAACAATTTATTGAATTTTTATATCACGTTTTGATTTACTAACTATACAATATAACCACTTCAAAATATCTACTACAATAAATATTGTGCACAGACTAGCTGCAAATGTGTATAAGGTGTAAACGGTTTGTTGCTCCAACATTGGACATTTGTGGACAGAATGTTTTGTTGGATCTATGGAAGCCTATAATAAAATAGAAAATTAAGAGATGCAATAAAAATTAAATATTTTATTTACCATAAGAAAACTGGGATTAACTTTATTTCGCCAACTAAATGAAGCCACAGTATACTCTTCGATACCCCATCTATTAATGGAGTAACAGTAATGATGTGAATGTCCAGCAAATGCTAAACGTGGGCGTAGAAGTTTACCTTTTAGAAAGGACAATGTATTAATGAATAGTGTACATTCAGAACATCGACTGAACTCAAAAGGGGGTTGACATGAATTAACATTATAGTTTGGCTTCTCTGTATCAGAGCTATTTGACACCAACGAATGTTTTAATAGAGGAGGTCTCAAACAATGAAGTCATCAATACATACCAAGCCAATATGTTGCATTCTTCGAAAGAACTTCCCATTTTTCACGATATTCTTCAATATTGGGTGAATCATGTTCTCTGCATGACTGATCCGATTTCCGATACGTTGGGAAATGTTGTAATATTATGGGTCGACTATAATTAACATGTTCTTCTATTGTTCTCAAATCGTTACACGTATTTAGATTTTTAAGGCAATTTAGTTTGTCTGCAAAAGCGGAATGTAATAATAAATAAATGTATGATTAACAAAATGGATATAATGTTATTCAATTCTAGAATACATTTAGCATAGACCATTCTTAATCATTACCATACGATATTGTGTTTGTTTTAGTTTACCTGCCACATGGTGTAGATCATCTATAGCAGCTTTACAAAATTCACAACCATCATTTTCCATGGCCATTGAATTGATAAACACAAAATGATTACCGCCAAATGTGTACATTTTCACGCCCGTGTTGTTGAAATTTTTTTCAAAACGGTTTACAAAATATGGATGTAATCTGAAATATACAATTATTTGTAGCATTTCCAACACTATCAACAATGTCTGCACAGAAATTATACTTATAATGAAATCCAATATCATGATTTCCAACGGCACTTATTACAGGAACGTTGGCTTGGAAATGGCTAATAAATCGCGAAACATATGCGTTAAAATCGTTATGATCTACCATATCACCTTCATCGAAAAGATCTCCAAGAACGAATACGAAATCTGGCTTGTGTAGCATTAATGCTGCTTGAAATGCCCGACGCATATGCCATTCACGATATAATTTATCCAGCCAGTGCCCTCGGAATGGTCCCAATAAATGGGTATCGGCAATTATCATAGCATGAAGCTCTTGTGAATCTAATGTCGGCCATGAACATGAATTTAATTTTATAAAATCACCCACAAATTCACAATAAATTACTGAAGACAAAACAATGAAAATACAGCGGCGCCAATTCATTTTAACAATTTATTTTCTAATAAAAAGGGAAATCATAAAAAAAGTTAGAATTATTTATTCCTTTTCGAATGTCTTATATAGAATTATCTCAAATGGTCTGTTAATGTGAGAATCTAGTACTTTTTACTACGATAACTATGATATCGAACAAAATAGTAAAAACTAGTAGATTCTTGCAGTACCGGAACAGACCAAAATTAACATTTCCATTTAGATTTAGAATGCCTCCACAATAGATTTAGAATGTCTCCACAATTTACCTCTAAAAATATAAGGGATATTAAATAAAGGTTCCAAGTCGATAGCGACAAATCGTTTACAACAATAAGAACATAACTTTAAAAAATACAAAAAAAATGGAATTTTGTAGTACGTGTGCACTTATCTCAGTGATAGAATTTGTATGGGTACAATTAAGCTTCGATATTTAAAAATTAATTTATATCATAATTTCTTGCTATAAGATGCACTTTCTTATACACTGAACTCTCGATAATGTGAACACTCAAACAGACATTAAAGTGGTTGTTGTAGCAGCCCTATTGCTTTTACACAATGGGCTGAGGTGACAGACGTTGGCCGAGCAAGACTCGTTTCGTTTCGGATTGTAGAACCCTCTGTCGTGGAAACGAGAATCGAAAATGTGAGCAAATTCGAAAATGTAAACTACCCCGACATTAATTATTTCACATTATCGAGAGTTCACTGAATATAGGTTTCTAAATTCTTTTATTAGTATTATTTCAAACTAGACCAAATGTTTATTCTATATCTTCTTAGAACTAGAACCGATATTTTTATACAGGGTATTATGGTTTTGTGGATATGTTTGTATCAGGTAAAAGGAAACAAGATAGGCCCATGCTATTTTCGTCCGATTTTATGCAAATGATGCACACAACTCCGAAGGTTTGTCGGATTGAGACGGAATTTAGCATGGCATATTAATGTGAGTTTTGTAGATATCTATTCGGATGTAGGATATAGGTTCCATATATAGTTTAGCTGTAGCTCCTACATATGTTCGTTCGATTTAATAAATTTGCGCCCCTAATACCCATAGTTTGTTCAATTCAGATGCAGTCTCGGACTTGGCGCTTTGCTGCATGAAAGTTTGCATAGATTTCAGAATGACATGTTTAAAAGTTAATTTAAATTGTTAGATGTTGATAACATATTTAATTTAGTTCGATTCCAAGTCAATGATCCTCTAAAGATTATATGTATGTTCTATCGAATGGATATTGTACGTTTGATCACCTCTGTATGTATCTAAAGTGATAAAGGTTAGCATATAGTCCGCTCCGTCCGACTTTTGAGCTTTCCTGACAGGTTTATCTTGACCAAAGTTTGAAATATATATTGTGCAAAGTTCGGATGAAATCGACGGACGGGCATACGTTAAACCATTTGGAATCCATACCTCGATTACATGCAAAGAATGAACGTATATTCCAATTCCAGAATGTGCTGTTACTGCCTCCCAATGTTGGCTTTTGGTGTCTTCAGGGAATTCCTTCCTTATGTTTGGGATTACAATGCCGGCGTCGTTGTTTGCCTGGAACCATTTGATGAGAAAGAAATCATCCGTGCCTGGAACCATTTGATGAGAAGAAATCATCCGTGTCTGGAGCCTCTATCTCACGTCCTGTGCATTCAGCAACATTCACTGACATGATCCATTGGGTAGCAGAGACCGTACGGAGGGGTTGACGTCGTGGATGATTCACACCAGACCAGATTCATTCAATCAAAATATACGAAAAGACAATTACCTCCCAAATGATTTAAAATAAATGTGGTTCCTGTGATCAGTTAAATCCTTTGTATTTTATGTATATTTGATTTGAATTAAACTAATATTAATTTTAATTAATAATAATAATAATATATAGAAAAAAATGAAAAACGTTCCGCCTGGTAACGGATGGGAGAACACAAAATGACCGATAACCGAATTGTTTACGAATGAGGTGGGATGGAGACAAAAAGAGAATTGCAGTCAGAGAACCGAGCCATACTGAAATGTTAATGTATGACGGCGTTGCTGACGTTAAACGATTTAAAAATTGGGGTTTGTAGCGCATTTAATAAAATAAAAAAATTAAATAAACTAAGTTCATTTACACTGTCTCAAGAATTCTCTTAAATGAAAATCATCTGAAAGTGACAAATTGAGCTCCATACAATGTAGGAAACAAGTAAAAGTAGAGGATTTTCATGATATATGTTGCTTTTAAAATTGCTTTAATAACATGAATTAATTAATTAATCTATATGCATCGAACTACTTTAATCGAATTAACTTTTAGTACTTTATAGCACAAAAACACGATTGTATAGCATAGGATGGTGTTTTAGCTGGAATCGTCATTTATTTTTGTATGGTAAATGACGCAAAATTGAATCCTGATTTTTCTATAGTATGCCAATGTGATTTTGGAACGTAATTGATTACAAAATTAAATTGCATTAGTCGGTAAAAGTCGAAAATCAATTTTGAGCAGGTTTGATAAAATCGAAAGATCGAAAAGTCAAATTTTTAGTCCGAGTCACCGAAATGTCGACTTTTTCTTCAGAGGCAACAATCGAAAAATCTAAAATTCTACTTCGAAATTCCGAGCAATTTTGTCGTCCTTAGCCGTAGTGTTATCACTTTTTAGTGCATCAAATGATGTGTTATCAAGTGCGTTAATACCATTTGTAATTATTGATAACAAGTTACCATGGCAACCAAATTTCCAAATAAAAGAAATAAAACAAATTTGTATATGGGAACTAAAAAGGAGGAGGTGCTCGTATTTGTAGAAAATGGACATAATTAAAGAGATTAATGATAAATTTATGGCTTTGGAAGCTGAGGTTGACTCAAAACTTGATGCGGTGTAAGTAATATATTAAATTGTTTATGCTTAAAATATTATTATATTGAATATTGCATTATTATAATTGTTTTCGGCTGTGTGTGGTGACATTACAACATAAGTTTCGAATGCTATTATTTCTATCCTAATTTATACAGGGTGTCTCGTATGTTATAATTCATCCCTAAAACTATGCTATACTTTTGTTCATTTAGAAAACGCGAAGAAGCGAAATTTGAAAAGAATGCCACATCGTTAGAAAGGAAATCACAAAATCAAGAAGAAGAGGCTATGGTGAGAAATGCCAATTTGATTAAGGTATGAGATTTGAAATTAAAATTAATATAAAAATATCCAACTATTAATCGCTCTAATTAATTTTATATTTTTTCTTTTCAATAGTCTCTCGAGATGACAAAGGCTCGTTTGCGTTCACGTTCCACATTCTCACCTGTGGAGCAAATTTTAGAGAAAGCTCTATCGAACTATAAAATGGATTTATTGCGTTCGCATCAAAGAAAAACGCAGAATTGTAATGCGGCTGAAAATATATACGATACTGTTGGAATATAAACTATATTTTATTTTATACTTATCTAATTTACAATAAAATGTATAAACTAATAAAACAATAACATTTATAAGCCATCATATTTAATGTTTTTCTTTATTTTATTACCATTGTATGTCGTGTGTGTTATGAAAATGGTAATTAATTAATCACGAAGTTTTTACCAACATACCAAAAAGTATAACTATACCAACAATTGTATTTCATGCTAAATGTTAAAAATATTATTATATGTGGCTTGGCCTAAATGCGTGTCGATTACAAAGATGGTGTAAGGTAGAATGATTACAGCAAATGGCTAAATCGTCTTAGAATTCCATACTTTCGGGATAAACCTAAAACTCTGAACAAATCAGATAACTATTTTAATATAAATCCCTAAAAAGGGCGCGAATATTAATAATTTTTAGGAAGGTCGAAAATGGGAGGGGTACCTTTATATGGGGGCTACCCGAAAAAATTAACCTAAATTTATAATTTATTGTGGAAAAAATTTGCTACCCCATAAGAACTCAAAGTACTAAATTGCACCCACAAAATACTGAAAATTGGGGGTACCGTTATATGGGGGCTACCAGAAAAAGTTGACCTATATTTATAATTTTTAGTGGATATATTTGGTACCCAATGTACCAAATTTCGGCGAATTCAGTTGAAACACGCGTTCAAAAACACGAAAATACCGGAAATTAGGGGTACTTTTATATGAGATCTATGCCTAAACGTGACCGATATAGCCCATCATCGAACATGACCCTGCTGCCTGCTTACTCTATACAAAATTTTGGGGATCTATCTCAATCCGTTTAGAGGCTAGAGTGATTACAACAGACAGGCGGACATGGCTAAATCGTCATAGAATTTAACGTTGATCAAGAATATATGGGAAATTACAAAAATCTTTTAAATTCCTTGAAACTGAGGTTTGCAAGCTTTTAACTCGGGAAATATGAACATAATGCATATAATTTAAATTCATTTCAATAAAATGAAGTTTTCTTGCCAAAATCTTAAAATATTGGTAAAAAATAATAAGTTAGGTGCAAGCTGTGATGGTGGTAATGTAAAAAATGGGTGAAAATGTGTTGAAGCCAACGAGTTTTTTTGTGTTCCTTCCTGATTTGTGGCTAAACTACACAACGCACGCACATGTGATCAGTGACTAAGTTACAGAATACCCCATGGACAATATGATTCTAAAGTATGATTTTTTGATATAATCACTGCATCCACCCAAAACGGATGCTGACATTTTGATGCCGGATTTTCGGTGTTTTTTGAATTTTTCTTATAATCAGGATGCGCAACCAGATAATGGGCTAAATTAATTATAGGATTGTAGAACTCGTGATTTTATTTCGTTTAGTGTATATCTCATGAATAAGCTTACCGTAGTTTCTTTGCAATTGGATTTCAAAGACGAAAATTTGCAAATTTTACTGCAAAACTTATGTATACCAAGGAAGCAATTGTAGGTGTGTGGATTAATTAATTTTTTATGGAATTAAAAAAAATTTAATTTTCCATATATACTTTATGGTGTCAGAAATGTTTATTTCGATGAGTTAAAACGGAAAAACAAAATTAATATACCCCATACTATGGTGGGTTACAACTAAAAGGGGCGAATAATGATCATTTTTGGGAGGGAGGTTTCTTATCATATACGGTAAAAAATACAAAATTAAAGCGAATTCGGTTGAAAATTGCTCTTTAAACCCTCAATTTTTTTTAAGTGGAGATATTTGGTACCCAATAAGAATAACCTCACTCAAAAACCCCAAAATAACGAAAATTGGGTGTACCTTTATATGGGGACTACCAAAATAATGGACCTATATTTATAAAATTTAGTGGAGCAATTTGGGACCCTCTAAGACCCCAATTTAAAATAACGAAAATGGGGGTACCCTTACATAAGGCGACCAAATTTTGAAAATAAAAAAGATTACCAAATGAAAAAAAAAAATATTTGTAATAAAAATAATATTATATGTAATATATTATATTTACCCTAAAACTTTTAAAAATGAGTTAAAAAGTAGGGAAATTTTGTTGTAGCGATAGATAATCCACACACTTACAATTTTTTTTTGTGCAACCGTCGGTAGTGTTTTAATGGTTCGGAGCTTTAAGTGGTCGGACAACATTTATGTTGCTCTGGGGACTTAGTTTTGAACCCTAGCCGTGCTCAGCTAAAATAATTTTTATTTTGAGTTTTACATGTAAGGGCGATGATCATTTAAATGAGCTTTATGTTAGTTTTTTCTCTTTTGACTCGAGCTTAATGATCGAAGTTTTTGCGCTTTTGCCACGAGAAGAACCTTTAAAGGTAACAGCTCTTTGGGCATAAAAACAAATCTAAACGAATTGGACATACCCTTACGAATTTGGCGGAATATTATGGATTTTAAAATATATTCCACCGACATTATTTCTTCATATAAAAAAAAAATCTACAATGAAAATTTTCATGCAGCGGGCCTTCCAAAAAAAATCTGTTCTGGTTTCTATATATAGTTTTTCTAATTTCCTGACACGTAATTTGTCTTAGCATATCAAAGTGGGCTTAGAATGACGTTGTCTTATGTTTTGTTCAAGTCGTTTCAGATTTAGTTATAAATCTCCTATATATTTTCATCTAATTTCAGGGAAATTGTGCGTGTACCAAATTTTGTTTCAGTGGAGATAAATTTCAAACAAAATAAAAAAAACATATTTATTGTGCATTGCTAAGAAATGATTTTTAAAGCCGCCTTTGTGGTGCATGGTATCATATAATCGGCTCCATCCGACTTTTCTTACTTATTTTATATAATTTAAAGTAGTACGCAATTTGGGCTTGGATCTACAGTACTGTAGAATTGTATTTTTGTGAAAAATAAATTCCATTGGTATGAACACACACAGATATGTCTACATACATATGGGCAATATTGCCAATTTTTTAACATAGCTGAAGTGGAGGTTCACACCTTTATAACTCGGGAACTACTTAAGTATATGAAAAAAAGTGAATAGTTTTGGGTTAATTGATCTGTCGTTGCAAACTGCTCATGATATTGACCTCCAAACTTTATTTTAGTGGAAGCTGTGTCTACTTTAATGTAAAAAAATGTGTAAAAACAGGTTGAGGCGAACCAGTTTTTTTATATTCTCTATCGATTTGTGACTAAGCCACTCATTGCACGGCCTTCGTGTCAAAATAAAACTAGAAGCCAACAAAATGGGGACTACGCCCCTTATGTATCATTTTTCAAAATTTTAACTGCATCTACCTTTAAATGATGCTGACATTTTGAAGCTCGATTTTGAGTGTTTTTTGAATTTTAGTTCTAGCATTAATACGCGAACAGGAATTTCTAAAAATCGATTATACGATTATTGTAGTCGCGAATCTGCGTAATTTGATATGTATTTTGTGTATGTAGTATGCACAGCTTCAGAGTAATACTCATCCGAAGGTGCGAATTTTGTGCGATCAAATTTCTAAAAAAACTATTTTTCGGGCCAAATTTTTAGATCTGTCAACTGAATGATATGGGTACCCGCGATCAATAAGGTTTTTTACGTTTCGGATGATATAAAATCTTTTTCGTGAAAATCCATCTACTAGAACGGCGGGAACTGACCTTCCAAAAACACGAAATTTGGCAAAAAATGTTTTTGAAAATATAGCGGATTTATTTGCGTTTTCTGTGTATCATTTCCGCTTCAATAAATGACCTCATACGGATTTTGATCTTTTTCGAAAAGAGAACTTTAAAAACTTCAGCCGAAAGAGAGATGTACGCAATTTATCTCAAAAATAGATTGTGATGGCACATCCATGGTTCTTAATGGACCACATTGAAATCGGTATAGATCGATGTATTTTTATAGGGTGCACACTGAAATCGGATGCGCGTTAATGACATATGGAGTTTTCGGAAATTATTCGCGTTTTACGGTTTTTTGGGTACTTCAATGTAACGTGCGGCACATCTTAGCCGTCAAATGAAATTTCGCAAAATATATATGGATTGGAAGATAAACTTCAGTACTTCCTGGAAACCGCATGCGCATCAAATGATTTTGAGAATTACGCGACTTAGACGCAATTTAAAATGTATATTTCATAATATTATTTTATTTTAAGATTTATTCCTATTTATAGAACCCTAAGATTTATCGGAAGGGTCTTGATATAATCCGCAAAGCGTATACTTATACACAAAAAGTGATTATTATTATATATGTCAATTTTTCAGCGAAATTCGGGTAAAATAGCAGAATAACCCCAACATTTTTTTCTGAAATTTCTTGTATACAATTAAAAAAATAAATGTGATGACATTATTTTTTCGAACCAAAAACAAATAATTTTCCTCAATATCTTGTTTTGTTGTCGCTGTGATTTACAAACAGCTACACGGACTTGTGTGATTTTAATATCATTTGATTCACCATGGTGTTTAGATTATGTAGATATTTTTAAATTAATTTTTAGGTGTGTGTATGTCATTAATATAATGAAAATATTTACGTAATCTCCTATATTTTCATTATTTTTCTCATATTTCGCGAAGATGTGCAACTTTTTCGCGATTTTTATAATATATTCATATTCTTATTTTACGGAGGAAGATATATATCAAAGTTTTTGGTCTATATAATAAACGGCGTAATTTTAAGATTTTTTTCTTATGCCCAAAATTAAAACCTCGATAACTTTTGCGCGCATCAACCAAAAATTTGATCGCGAACGGTTTCGGAGTCAGAACATTTTTCCCTATATGTGTACCAAAAATCATTGATGTGCCACAAAAACAAAAAAGCTGATTTTTTGAAAATGGAATATTAAAAAATTGGCAATATTGCCCATATATTTTTAATAAACTTGTACAAATAGAATCGAATTTATGTGTAAATATTTATCAATAGAAAAGAACAAGAAAAAATGCTTCATTCGAATGAATATCGAATTCTTTCGGACAAATAATATTGGTTTTGTACGTTGATG